CAAATAGGGCTTGTGCGTACTTCCTGCAGATGTCGAGATACCTGCACCTACGACACAGACAATCCGTTGTGATTCTCGTAACGTCGCAGCTAACTCCTCCAGCGAAGGCCGACCGGGACCTCTTGTCCTAGAAAGTTCCACACTCGCTTGCGCACCATTTGCCGTGGTATGGTCATTCAATCTTGGTTGGAGACATATGTTCAATCTATGCGCCGAATTCTCCGGGCTTACATTGACTGAAGTCAAGGGTGTATGCTCAGTACGATCGCCCTCTCTTATCTTAGAGACAATATGGCCCTGGTGGAATCTTTTATGCCTGTGAGCAATGACCTCTCCGATGAAAACCTTCTTGCCACCTTCCGAGTCACATGTTTCACAGATATAATGTGGTGTTTTCTTGTGACGTGTGATATTCTTGCTCTCCTGAATAGGGCATCGTGAACACCAACAAGGCTCGGGTTTGTTTCGACAGATTGAAGGGGTCGGCGGACGTGTAAGGGGTTGGGTGGTAAATGATGGATGGCAATGTTGCGATTGCAGCTTTCGAGGGGCGACCGCTTCACATTCTAGGCATTGGTAGTGAGGTAGATTGTCGTGTTTTTCTCGACGGCGAGTGGACTTTAGGCAGTTTGGATATAAGCATGGTTTCCTCACCATGGGTCTAATCCTAGATAGAGGTGGCAGATGAAGCAAGGGTGGCAGATGAGGAGAGGTGGCAGATGAGGAGAGGTGGCAGATGAGGAGAGGTGGCAGATGAGGAGAGGTGGCAGATGAGGAAAGGGTGGCAGATGAGGAGAAACGTAGCCTGGCTCGCTGCCTGTTAGCGCTCCAGCATTTCAACTTCGCAGAGAGAAATCAAATGACAGCAATAAAACACTTCACAGCCAGTAATTGCGAACTGGCCATTCCTGGTCTTGTTGGTTAGCGACACATGGCCGAAAGCTAAGGTAAAGAGCTACTATATTTGAGGTGCTATTGATAGAAGTACTGAACTCCAGCCTAATACGGCGAAATCTGTACCGGCTGACGTAGCGGGCCCGAGACAAACCATTCCTCCAACGGAACCCATTTGGCGATCTTCCTGATTCTGTACTGAGGTACAGCATGATTTGAGATCCTCTAGTCAATTCTTGAGCACGAATGCATTGAGCAAGCCTACCTGATCAACCAGTTGAGCCTTACAGACGGGTCAAGTCTGCCTCACATGTACAAACAACACTGTTACCGGACGAGCCCGCCGCTCTTCTCGCATATTATTACTCGAGATTCACGACCATCATGACCTTTTCATAAATCTTCTCCCTCTCTTCTATAGTCTCAGCTAGCCGAGGACTACGTCGACAATGCCGACGCCGGTTGGATTCCAGAGATGCTGCAAGTAGACCTTGATCCTGGATGTTTCTTCCGGGAGTCTAGAAAGCCCTAAATTTCGCCAGATAAAGGGTCGAGGTAGCGTCTTCGCGCTTCTCCATGATACTGTATATCTGGGCGTAAAGACTAGCGTTGCATTCTACTTAATATCGATGTGCATACGGGTTGAAAATCGAGGGCCCGACTTTGTCCTTCTGAAGCAGATTCTCCAATTTCACCTCAGCACCTGGTATACCTAGATCGTTCGAGGATATCCATCGATTAGTAGTCTCGAATACTCCGATTCGCCGTGGTCGTAACAGAACCTCAAGGACGAACCTAGTCCCTCGACACTAGGAGTAAGCTGTTCGTGAAGAAGGTTGCTAACCTCGATTAATTCTGGGGAGGTGCCGACACGGATTCCTTTAAGGCTGTCCGAGTGCTTAGAGTGACACTCTTATTTACTCTTGGACCTTCTCGAAACAAGCCATCACCAGCTAGGAACGAACCAACAGTTACGTAATTGAAGACAAAGGTGCCCCTGACGGAATGCAGTAACTGCGATTGCGGGAGGGGTGTGCAGACAGAACAGAGCACTCCGTCGCTCGACTTTCCACGTTGAAGCTCGATAAACAACATGGATTATCTCCGGGCGCTGGGGTGGCTAGGTGCTTCTGTTGGCCGACTGAAATCGCCGCGGTAGGATGTGAACCAGGTGTGAATCAGCCGGTGCACGAAGATATGATGCTGGTGGAGGCAGTGCGCTCGGTCAGGGCGCCATCGATAGGTATAAATATGGCCGTCCCCTCCCTGATTCTCTTCCTCTGTCCTTCGTCCTTTTCTTTTCTCTCCATTCTGAACCTTCCTTCTATCGTTGTGGTCCGTCATGCCCATCACTCGCCACCAGCTCATTAAGAATTCTCGACAGCTTCGCTCCGGCCGCTTCACCGCCAGGGACATAAGCAAAGCATCGCAATTATGGCGTGTTTGCAAATCGTCTTCATTGTCATCGCCAACGTCGAAACGATCTGAGAACGCGAGTCCGTCTGGTCGGACTCGACAAAGCAACCCGCATGATCGGGTTTCCGGTAACCACGCCCGAGGATGGGTAGCCCCCACGAGTGTTTTGCCAGAGCATGGAGACGTCAGTGACGGCATTAATGAAGCAGGTGCGTGTCTCAAGCAGCCATTATATTGCAACCATTAACAAGAGGAAGGAAACGACGGACATCGCGGCCCTGGCTTATCTCGGTGTGGCTCAAATCCGCTGGCCCCAGACCTCTCAATGTTGTTGCCATCGACGCTTCACCCATCCAACACGGATGCGGAAGAAGACAGCCCGAGTTCCACAATCCATGGACAAGAAATTCAGGGTGAGGCTCTCTACGTCGAAGGGGAGAGTTCCCTTCCTCATCTCGAGGATGTGGGACTTCCTCGGGATGGGGTCTGGGACCACGACGCGGCCTACGACTGCAGGTTTTGTTTCGACCACGGCGAAACCGAGTACCTTCTTGGGACGGCGGATCGGTGGATGCCTTCTAGCGACTTTGACGTCCCGGAAGCCGAAGCCGCATTGGAGGCTATGCTTAAAAAGCATAAGGACGATCCTTCCGAGTTCCAACCGCATTCACGACGTTGTCAAGCAGAATGCTGGGGCATTCTATACTCACATATATATAGCGTCCTCGATAAACGGGAAGACAGTGATAGAGTCTTATACCTGGTACGGTGGAAAGCTTGCTGGACTCCGGAGAGTCATATTGTCGAGAAAGATTGGATTGCGGCATCACTGGAGGCGAACAAGAATTGGCATTGCCGACGGAGCACACGGTTAAGGGGTTCATTTAATGACAGGAAGAAGAAGTAAGAGGAGATGATGGTGGTTGTGAATCTTGAATAAGGGAGCATACATGCGAGGCACTGCGTACAGTACACGTACTGACCGTTGTGCGCCAGCTATTTGATCTCTGACGCAGGGGATGCGTTTTACTGTATGGAAATCGCTTCGGCCAAATCTTCTGGTGACCGACACGTGACGATCGACAGACGTGTAAGCAACAGAAAATAGGTTCCTCAGGTCCCCTGTAGCCAGCTCCCTCTTTTCACAAGGAGTCTCGGCGCTATTTCACAAGGAATTTGGACCGGCTCCTTCCCTCCCTTCCAACCACTCGACACTAAACTACACCATGTTAGATCTCTTACGGAAGTCCCAGCTCTGACAACGTTGTGCCTCTGCCACTATTGAGCAAGTTTTCAGAATGCTAGCCGACCTTCTCTATCCAACCAAGAGTTTCCATGCATCAGATCTCCTTGCGAAATGGAACTACCCGTACTCTAGCATGCAAGCCATTCGTTACTGTAACTCTTTAAGAACTATTTGGAGGTCGAGATTTCCAAAGGGTTTTGGATCCCGCCTCGAAATGTTACGCTCCAACCTCGAACTTCGATGCTGCATCTCTTTCAAAAATCCCTCCACATCCGAAGGCCCTTCGTGCCAACTACTATCCTCGGGCTTATTCAGATCAAATTCGTAGGATCGAAAATAGCGGTTTGGCGTCTGCCAATAATCAGGGTAATGAGGTTGGTTGCAGGCCCATCCAGGTTGTTTCTTCCACTCAACTTGTGTAAGCTCGTGAAACAGTGCCCAGCCATTTTATTCCCAGTATTTTGACGCTCCGGCCACTGACCGATCACGTTCTTCATTGAATCCATCACAGACCAATCCGCCCATATATCTTGGTCTTTGAACCGTACCATGATAAATGCTTCCGCTCCACCTCTAAAGTTGGAGTAAAGTGAAGCTCGAAACTGGGTATTGTCTGGCAAAAGCTCCTTCAGGTTCCTCGCCAATAAAGGGTCAAACTCTTCTGTGTTCATCGACTCCCCACAGCCAGTTTCGATAAAACAGAACTTTGCCGCCATAGGACTAACACGTTTGTGGTTCTGTAACAACTTCAACACGGGTCAGTGTTCACGCAGCTCGAGTCAACATTGGCCTTATACTCACATTTTCCTCTATTCAACATAGTATTGGAGATACAAAATCTTATCTAGCGACCTTAACGGGGGAGGAGTGTCGCCTCAATATATCCTGACCGACTATAACGGATCTCCCTGCAAAACGGGATAACAAAAGGTCCCGGGAAGGCGGACCAAAAGCCCAAGAAACTTTGGCCCTCCAGGCCAACCAATCGGATCGCGTGTATCACGGTCGGGACATTATATCACCGGTCTGGATCGAAGGGGGAGCAACCTCACTAGTTTGTGGCCCGCTTCCTTTAACGGCGGGCTTAGAGGCATTTGCGGCAGGAAGATCCATGATCCACTCCGGGGATAGTGGTGCAGAAAGACACCGCGCCTCCCACTACTATTGCATCCACAGTCGAGGCGATCATCGGGGCCGTGTGGGAAGACTCCGGAAAGGATCTCGACCGGGTTAGGGTAGTGGTCAGAGCACTGGACCTCACTGAGTAGACTCGACGGCCTTGCACTAGCTGAAGCTGAGCATCGTCCAGGCGACCGTGCGGATCCCGACGGAACAGGTCCCAGAGGTCACGAAAGCACTTAAAAGCGGTGAGGTTGTGGATCTTGATGCCGTTTTCAAACACTTTTGGAGTGCCTGAGTCAACTCGAGAACGACTGCTGGCTCGTGGTGATTGATAATGTCGATCGAGAATATCGTGAACGAGGCACTCAGCCCGGCGCCTACGATATCGCACAATGCTTTCCCAGAGCAGATCACAGCTCGATTTTGGTGATGACTCGACTATGCGAGCTGGAACAATATGGTTCGGTGGGGAAGAAGCTTCAAAAGTGGATGGCGATCTTGCTAAGGCCATTTTCTGTCAATGTTGGCACCAAGCGTTGTTGTTACACAACCTTGTTGACGTGTCAACATTCTATTCGCGAAAGATGGAAGATGAATTGAACTGTCGATTCTACGCTGTCAAGAGGACTTTCAACTCGCTCTTTTTCGTGCTGGAAGAGCCGATTGCACGCGCAGCAAGCTCTACGCATTGAGCTCCAGTTGCGTATCGTGCGATCGCACCTTCGGCAGCGAAGAAGCCCTCAATCAACACTTTCGAGACTCTCCTGTGCATGTCTGGATTGTGAGACCATCGCTGTTTCGTAGCAGATTCCTGACGGGCCAATGCAGGAAGCCCTCTTGAGCCTATCAATTGACTTCATATCTTCCCAGCACAGATGATCTTTTAATCCGCGCCGAGTCGACTGGCAGAACAGAGCCATCGCGGACTGGATGTCTAGAATTGGTCAGTACCATTGTGCCGCTCCCATAAATGGTGGCCCAACGCTCTCTACATTTCGGTCGATGTCACGTACTCGACAAGGTTCGACAGACATCTTCGCGGCGGCTGAAGAGTGAGGTGGGGCCGTGACGAAGGAATCAGCTGGACGAATAGCGTCGATATGGCCCTCCTTGGACCCCCTTGCCTGGTGCTCCTGTGCGTGGTGTGTGGCAAGGATGCAGAAAGAGGATGCAGAAAGGCAGAACCGGGATGCGTATCGTCACGAGGGTTGCGCGTCCGCGGGCACCACATGACAGCCACAACAGGAGCCTAGTCTGTGACGGCAACCACAGTGACCCCTTTTGATACCTTGGATAGATTCCAAGGCAATCCACGAAATATTTGGGCACCCATTGCAGATCTGGAAAAACCACAGAGGCCGCTGTGGGAGTTCGATACCCTTACTACACCGAACACCCTTACTACATCAGCTCTGGCCGCAGTCAGCATCATCCCTTTGCCATTTCTCCATAGTGCGAGTTTTGCGAGCTGTTTTCACCCCCTGAGAGGCTGCGCAGACATGATGGAAGAACCTAAACCTGGTTTCGGTGACATACTGGGTCATCCGTCGTCAGGGATCAGGTACTGATCCTGTTATCCTGCGTGTCCCCTGGAAGGAGCCCTATCGAGTCAATCGCTTCATTTGGAAATCAGCTCAGTTGACGCCGTGTCCCTCATTGGGGCGGTTCATTGGTGGACGACGGGAATCATGGAAAAACAAAGCCCGCTGCTGGGACCGTGATGATGGAGGGTCACTGCCACGGAAGGACTCAAGCTGCGTAAATGTAGATTGCACCTCGCATATTGTTGACAGCTTTTCTCATGGGAGTATTGTCTGTAGAGATTGATTGGCGACACGATCCACGTCACGCCTCTGTCCTCATTTGTAAGCCAGCACTACAATCCTACCCAAATTGCCACAATTGCACAGCTACAATGACGGAATGTTTTGCCCAATCCACCGGATTTGCATATTACTAGATCCTGCTGCAAAACGTCTGGCAGAACGAGTTGGAGGCCACCGCGAGGGCCTGTCTTTCTCGGAGCACATCCACATTCAAGCGGTATCTGCAGAAGTATGAGAAATGCTGGAACATTGATCCGCGACGATCATACCAACTCCAGGAGTATCAGCATCGTACGCTATACACGTCTTAGAATCTATCCTATACCCGGCGTGAGGGAATAGCTGACGAAACGCCTTTGTGGCTGCGGGGAATGATTCTTGGAGTACGCACACCCTGCGTGCACGACTGGACCATGGTGCCGCCGAACACGGCGATCGATCCGCAGCGCTATTGATACGCCCTCAACTCCGTGGCTGCATGGATTGACGAGGATGACTGGGACTCTCTAGGATACCTCAAGTCGCTCCAGGAAGCATTCGCTAGCAGCCACTGGCACCGAACGATAATAGGGGAGGGATGAGGAGCGAAAACTCTGAGTAGGAGCGCACGGGCCACAAATCCGTTGAGGTAATTGTGGCCCGTGCACGCCATAACCAAGGGACAACTTATTGTCTGCTCGAAATAGTCTTTACACGTAGGGGTTCCCATTATCCCCGAGCCTCACTCTGAATCTGGTAAGTAGATTTGAAGGATAAGCATCTTCCAAGGTAGTCTTCTACATCCAAAAGATACTACATTATTTTAGAAGGGTCTAGTTACGCAATTCTAAGTTATCGTGAAGCGATATCCCCGAGCCTGACTTTGAATCCGCCGAGAAGGATAAGCATCTTTCAGGGTAGTCAATTATCATCTATATTCATCTACGTCCCCAAGACACTGCGTTTTTTAGAAGGTCTAGTACACAATTCTAAGTTATCGTGAAGCGATGGCTAAGGTTTTAGGAGTAAGGACACCCACTCTCAGCTGCATCGACTCGTCATCATAATTTCGGTGCGAAGTTGCTTAGATTGAAGCTGAAACAATTCGTAGTTCAGACCTAGAAGTTTATTGTTTTTTGTTTGCCATTATATATCGAGCACGCAGCTATATAGTGATTAAGAGCTTATGGAGCAATCAAAGATCATGTAGTATCAACTGATTGGAAAATCTCGAATCTTGGATAAGCGTTTTATGGTCGCCGATGAGTCTCGGTCTAGCTATTTGCTATTGATTCGTCAGCATATCATGACTCGCACCATATATAGAAGACCAGTAGACAGTTAGTCACTTCCAGCCCGGTAGACTACCAAGGCTGCGAAAGTTTGTTGAATCAAGTAGGCGGAGTATCATAGCTTCGCAGCGCCTTTCTTCACAATGGCTTCTTCTAGTGGAGACCTAGTAAAAACAATAGCCTCTCCCTGCCATAGTTCTCTGTGTCGTTATATAGAATCCATTATCGTGTGAAACATAGGCGCCAGTGTCTATCTTACGCCTAGCAGACGCTTACTCGTTCTCCGTAGTCCGCCCTTTTCAAGGACGGAAATCATGTGATCTTGCAGCCTGCGACGTCACGTGTCACGACCACGCCAGAGGTCGCCCAGCGCGTCCGATCGTTGTAAGTCACACCCCCTGGCACGCTGAGTGACTTCATTGACTGATTTCACTGACTCCTACTAGTCTCTGGGGGGTCTTCTGGGTCGACGTTAGCACGCCGTCTTTGGCGGAGAACGGATTTCTCGACATCGCCCACCGACTTCAGATCTCTGCATCGACGTGGGAGTATGGGTGTCATGGGCTCGCCAACATTTCGCGACCGTGGATATTGGTGCTGGATAATGCGGATGACCCCAACGTCGATTACCAGGCCCACTTCCCACCCGGCTCGTCTGGCGTGCTGGTGCTGACATCGCGCAATGCGGAATGCAAGCAGTATGCCACCGCCGATTTCGTGGCTTTGGAAGGGCTCTCACCAAATGAGGCGACACAACTCTTATTGAAAGCAGCCGATGTTGCTAGCGACCAACGTCCTCTGCTGGAAGACGATGCGCGAGGGGTGGCGACCTTACTCCAATCACATCCTCTCGCCCTGATCCAGGCCGGAGTGTACGTAGGGCGAGGGCACTGCACTTTAGAGGAGTACCCTAAAGTGTATGAGCGTCAACGGAAGCGACTGCTCAAGTTCCGGCCGTCGCAAGCCCAATCGCGGTATCGGGACGTGTACGCGACGTTTGAAGCGTCGGTGGAGATCTTACAAGCGAGCCAGACACAGTCGTCGCGAGATGCACTGGAGTTGCTGCCCCTCCTGGCCATGTGTGGGCCGAGTCAATTACCGTTATTCGTCTTTGAAGCGGCATGGAACGGAGCGCAAAAGATACCAAAGGATGAATCTGCAAACGAGGTCGATCATCGACTGACAGCATGGCACATGTCTCGTCTACCCTCACTTATGCAAGCCAGTGAAGATGCGTGGGATTCGTTTCGGCTCGGGGAGGCTGTCAATTCCCTAAGAGCTTTCGCGCTGGTGTCGACCACCGTGGACAATGGATATATGCGTGGATCCATGCATCCCTTGGTGCATGCGTGGGCGCGGGACCGTCAAGATGAGCGGCAACAGCACGAGTCCTGGATCGCCATGGGGTGTGTCGTGGCGGCGTCGCGTAGTGAGCGCGAGATGTGGCGAGTGCACGGGCGGCACCTAAAGCCTCAACTTCAAGCGTGCACTTATCACCAAGGCACCGCAACGCTGCACCTGTATACTCACCATCTGACCGCGCCCAAGGCCCCTGGAGAACCTCCCGAGTATCTACTCAAATAGGGGGGTATCAAACGACGCACGACAGGTAAACATTCGTGAAAGGAGCCGGTGGTCTACGCAACAACCGAGATCGTGCCAAAACCAATCGAGACGATTGCATTGATCACGCCAATCAGATAGCCCGACGCGCACCTGCTGATACTTCGTCAACCACATTGAGGAGCAGCCGTACGTCTCTATCAGTGCTTCAAGAAGACGAACCCGATACTTCGGCTGATGAAATACTCACCGAGCAAATAACTGCCAAGCGCACGAGACATACTGCTCTAGAGAAATCAAGGCACCCTGCTATTATACCCACAGCAGCGCCCTACTCACCCACGCGTCTCAGTCATGAGTCTACGATATCTCGGCAGAACATGACAAATGCACAATATGTGCAATCTAATGCACGTTCATGGCACCCAACTGAGGATGGCAAAAGTAGGAGGCAAATCAGGCCTACACAGAAGGTGCTAGATAACTCTTACGTTGATGGGTTTCGCGACCGGAGACGATGAGGTAGCTATGAGTTTCCAGATCTGATCAATCTAAGCAATCTCGGTCTTCTGGAAGGACTAGTCAGTGTGCATGTAGGGACCCTTTACTGAAAGAAACCACTAACGCAATTGACAGAGTTCTTCGTCATCCGTTGACCAGGATCAAGGCTTTATCAACCGTCCGACGGGCCGTACACCCCTTGCGAGGTTGTGAACAATGCAGGGGGCTCAAAACAAGAAGGATCGCTCCAGGGTTCGACGTGTGGTTACATTGGATAGTTGGGTACCTTGTCTCTCAAGGCTGTGGCGGCGTTTGCCTATGGTATCCTGCGAAGTAGAGGACATTTAGAGTGGCGTCAAGTAGAAAATTCAAGGTCTGAGTGAGTATAACGTCAAGTCACAAGGATTCTATCCCTTAAGGTAAGCCAGTAGAAGAGGAAAGGTGGTGGCTCTTGTAGTTTGTCTGAACTTAGCTGCCAGCAATTACAGGGCGATATGCTTGTTTATATCGTGCACTGTAGGAAATCCCGGAACCCTGCACGGATCTGGAAGGATGTGTCGAGCTGCGTAGACGTCAGTCATGCCTAGAATGCACACGCGAATTGAGTGTTGTAGCAATGTAGGTTAATTCCCTCATTCGTACTTGTTGCAGCACCGACGTTTTCGTACAATGTATCAGCGGGCTAACAGCGAGAAGGAGTAAATGACGGAAATATAGTAACAATAGGCTAGGCGAGCCATACAATGATCAACACCTACTATGAAGTTTCCGAAATTTAAGCACAAGAGTCAGGACTTAAAACCGCTCAGAGTAAAGCGAGAAGCGAACCGGATACGCAGCACTATGCCGGACCTACGAGCCGTGGCGGCACTAGGAACCATCACACTTCCCTTGTCATACTACTTGCGAGCTTCCACCGAAGAACCCTCCGCAGGCGGAAAACCAATGCCTAGATGCCCTTGAATGCTTGCATACCTGCATGTGCCTAATAGTTGAGGATGCCGTGCTGTTACATCACGGATAGGAGTACTACCCGGAGCCCAGTAATCGGGCTGGCCGTAGATTGCAAGCCCCAGGTCGGTCATGTAGACGATATTCCCTCGCTCACCCGTACCGAGGAGAAAGTTTTCAGGCTTGATATCCCGATGAAGGTATTGGTTCGAATGAAGAGTCTCAAATCGATGAAGCAATTGGTCAGCGAGCATTAGTGTCGTCTTCAACGAGAACTGGTTGCCACAATATCGGAATAAGTCTTCCAAGTTCGGCCCGAGCAGCTCAAAAACCAAAACCGTGAAGCCATCTTGCTGTCCGTGCCAGTACACCTGAGGAAACCCCGGTTTTCCGGCCAGAGATTGATAGATTCGCGCTTCTTCTCTAAGCAAAGATGGCTCAACGCTGTGATGTTCGAATTTCATGGCGACCTCGTCGCCGGTCTCGGCATCACGGCCAGTTGAATCGTCAGATCTGTGTCAAGCCGTGGACGACATGGATGCGGCCATACCTAGATACACATTGCCAAAAGAACCAGATCCCAGTTTTCGCACTAAATGATATCTGCTGCCGATAGCTATGTCCTGCACACGCCGCACGAAGCTGTCCATGCTGTGGTTGTTGGTCCTTCGTCGACGCCATCTCTCGTAATGGTTTAATCCTCTGGCGCTCGCGACACCTTCCGCCAAGCACGTCGACCTTGGGCCATGGTTGCCTAATTACTCCGCATCAGCCCCCAAAATCACGCAGAATGAGCCTGACACGCTAACACCTCTCGGTGGCCTCTGGACCAATTAACCATTCCTTAGCGCCCGACTTCTGAAATCGTGTCTCGACCTCCATCCAACGCAGACATTCGGCCTGTCCATTGACTGGATGCGACGTGCTGCATCGATGACCTGCCACACCTGCATCTCAACATGCAGCCGTGCTCACCTGCCGCGCTATATTGTATCCTCTTTTGAGGCCACCTCATCACACCTTTACCCTCGAGCCTTTCTCTCTTCCGCACTCATGTTCGTCCTGGAAGAGCCCAAGTCGAGAAAACGACCACGGTCCTCGCACGAACCTGTGGATCTCGAGCCGGAGCCGATAGCAAAGAAACAAAAGTCTCTTTCGCAAAGCCGTGACCTCCCTCGCCATCGTCCTCCCAGCTACTGGGACACGCTGTCCAGAAGACGATTGAGTCGCGGCGCTCTCCGAGAGTTTGACCGCAGGAACATTCAAGAGAAGGAGCTTGGGGCCCACGAACAGAAAGCTTTGGCTATAGATGATTGCCGGTTCGTGGAATTTCATCTACCTCGGTATCAGCAGTGTCACAGCCATCAGCAAAACCAAGGAAGGCGGCTCCCCCGGCATGATGTTGATGGTCTTCTACGCATTTGGTATTGAATGCTGACAAACGAGACACTTTGTAGATCTCCTTTATGCAGACCATCAGAAAGTATGACGAGATTACGGTATGGGAAGACCTAGACATGCCAATCATGTTTATCACGCCTCCCATTTGCATCTACAGCTGTTGGCCAGATCTTAGGGTTCGTGCCTTTTATGAGACTGGAGGGTGGCTGGCATCGATCATCGAGAGCCAATTATTTGCAGGCAACAATGCCGACAGGAGGCGGGAAGTGTGAAAGGTCGATCGTTGGCTGGTATTGGCACACCGCTGAGCGAACACAGCACTGGTCTGCAGATGCCTCACCGGTTGAGAGGCACAGTTGCTGCCTGTCCGGCGACCGTTATGACGACCACGCTTGAGAGTCAGTTGACCGCTGGGGTCGAAGAGCCTTCCTGCTCACACGCGAGCAGTTTCCTTGAAACTTTGCGTCCCGTTGAGTTAGCAGGCGTGTCCAATTCAGCTTCCGAAGGGTCACGTTCTGCCCGCGGGTCTGGTGCAGTTCCTGCTTCAGGCTGTGGCTCGTCCAGTATGGCATCTGCCCCGGGTGCTGGGTTGACTGCTAGATCCATGGGGGCATCGTCGAACTCGAAATTCAACCGGTGTTTCCTCGAGAACTTCCTTCGCATATGCCACTCGTTGACTATTCTTTCGTGCTTCTGATGCATGTCACCTGTCTCATCTGGCTCTCTTTTTCCTCGGGGTACTGGATCTGGACGTTGAGAATCCCGAAAATCATGACATATGAGGTCTCGTTCAACTGTTTGGGAATTTATGCGCCGCCCGTCAATGCATCCCTCCTGATTATTCCCGCCTTCGAAAGAATCGTGAACGGTGAATTTGCAATCGCCCTTCCCCGCGTGGATCGTAACGCCTTTTTAGACGTGTCTAGAAGGAGCAATGAGAAGCCTGGTCGGCTAGGCCCTAGGGTAGAGATGAAACAGCGTACACTCCTTGTTTACAAGGCTATATCCTTATTTTGTCAAAACGTTTGATATTTTGGTGTAGAGAAGAAGAGCCAACGATCAGCTGGGATGCATTTTCGAACAGGGTGTTTTATAGCGGTCTGGCTTACAGGAGCCTGATCAGCGTCCTGCCGCAGTCGCTATCACCATGACTTCTTCGCACACTTCGTCCTATCTACGAGATCCAGTTGAATGTGCGAACTTCTGCCGGAAAACAACAATGAACGATTCCTCTCCTCATCCTCTCGGCCTTCAGCAACGTACCAACCAACGCTTTAGTCCCATTGCAAGTCCTGACTGATACGGACGTCGCGCAATGGATCCTCTGTCAATGGCCGCCAGCATTGTTGCTGTGCTACAGCTCACATCAAGCCTGGTAGACTATATCAACGAGACGAGAAATGCAACGGCAGAGCAAAAGAAGGTGGCCATCGAGGCCAGTAATCTCTACAGTCTTCTCACGCTCTACGCTATCGAATCGAAGAAGGCCGGTCGGAGAACGCTTGGTTCAATCAGGTGAAACTGTTGGGAGTTACAAATGGTCCACTCGACCAATTCCAAGTTGTTCTTGAGACCATGGTAAAAGAGTTGTCGACGTCGAGGAAAAGAGATCAGTTCAAAGCAGCACTGTTGTGGAAGTTTACCAAGAAGGAAGTGGAAGATGCATTGGCTCGTATCGAGCGGTTGAAGTTGCTCATCAACTGCGCCTTGACAAATGACTTGATGTGCGTGCATTTCCCTCAGCAGAGAGGTGGGTTACTGACCACGCAGGACATTGTCGAAAGCGATCCACTATGATTTGGGGTCGGTCAAACATCAGGTGCATGGTGGCCGTTCGCGAGAAAGATTTCAAGGTGATATGACGAACTTCGCAACTTTAGCACGAATGGACATACCGCAACATGCAACGCGACATCGTAACTGGTCTCCCACAGCTGATTATTTCCGTCGAATGCGTCATTCTCATGGCCAGATCTTACATCGCTTTCAAATCCAAGGAGTATCGAGAACATATAATGAACTGGTCGCCAGCATCCCACTTCCATTGGTGGGCGTGCCTTTACGACCTCTCAGCTCTCTTTACCGGGATGACACCCACTTCATCCCACAGCCGAACGCGGATAGAATGAGTACCGAATGCCTTGTCCGTAATTCTTTCATCCGTTCTGAAATGCTTCAAGCCATCCGTGTATTCGGATATGGAGCATGCATTAACGGCTATAACGACGGATTGAAACGGCGTGCAGGAAGTCCAAGGAAGTAGGATTTCCGACGTTCTGTGGTTAATCCCGAGAAAGGTACAGCGTTCCCATGTGGAAGTCGAGTGTTACTGCAAAGACAGCAAGGCGATCAGATGCAACTCTAAATGAATCTATTAACACATTTGGGAACAATCCTAGAGCAACTTACTTGGTCATACCGCGGAATCCATACGTGTGCTCGAATGGTCACGCAACTGACTGTGAATGCGAATTATAATGTTCTTACAATCGGCCCTGTTGAGATTTCGGCGTCGCTTCATTTCCAACTCATATTGTTTGATCACAGTCGTTTTCAGGGTCACACAACTTGAAGGCTTGCTTCGCTATGCTTGAAATCAAGTGGGTAATGACAATCTTCTTGGCTAATTTTCTTCTCCCCAAGTCATTAACCAGCGATATGAACAGCTCCTGGCTTGGCCAGGACCTCTGTCCCAGCTGAACCCAAACTAACGCGACAGACCAGGCAAGACAGCTTGATGTGCGCCAGACGAGATTCCCCCAGAGATAAGGTGGTAACACCAGGATTAGATTCCACTTGAGCCCCCAGAACATTTCGAATCCAGTCGTCGCAGCAAGGCTGATGTCCTAGGAGCGAAGCTTTATCCTCCTGGGTTATTAAAGTCTTGGCATTATTGGGCCAATAACTTCCACTTATTATAGTATACTGACGCTACTATATCCTTATGCTTTCACACTAACTTAGAGTCATACTCATTTAATTCTACGTTGCTTAAATACGGCGGCCAATATAGTATAGTTCGTCTTTCCGGTTATACCTTATAGCGATCCTACAATCTACAATCGATTTACGGAACTTCACGCTACTATTTCGCAATAGTATAGTTTAGGCATAATCTTTATAGTCGTAGTATGATAGACTTTTCGAGTTCTACGCTAGGCCCTTCGAGCTCTCCTCTCACCTCTAGCCTTTTTCTATGTCGAATGGCTTGCAGCAAGTTTAAGACGTACTTTTCTAACGACGGTAATAAGCGAATTCGATATTATTTTCGTCGTGTTATATATTACGGTAAATACGATATATATAAGTATAAAGGTGAACGATCTCGCCGAGGTTGCCATACGAAGTGGAATACTCGCCACTATTAACTTGGTCTCACTTCTAGTGGGTATTTAACTTAGCGATATAGTAGACTTTCTCGGCATTACTCTTTAGATACCGAAAATCATATATCGATAGATTAGTTATATAACGCTACTAGAAGCGACGATCTATATTATAGCTAGAGCATTGACTACGGGATTACCATAGAATTCGCTAGTAAAATCTAGAATCGTTGTAAGTCTATATTATTAGGACGAAATACAATGGAAACTAACTCTTTTTTATACTTCGGTAGCACTTACCTTTACGGCTCTACTAACGATCCTAGGTACGCGTCGTCGTTTCTACGAGTGTTTTTTAGCCTTGCATATTTTGATAACGGGGGTGGCAGTATCCGCTCTATGGCGTCATCTCTCTAGTCGCCAATTCGAAGCTCGATTTTACGTACTAGGGGGTGTTGTTTTCTGGGCCAGTTGGCTCCTTAGTTGGCAATCTTGCATCTAAATGTCTAAGCGTGCAACGTTATGAGAAAGCAATGATGACAACTTTAGAGGAAGGCAGAAAGAGGCGATAACGATGCGCCAGTCTGCCAATCAGCGGTGATATATCGATAAGCCCGCCCTCGGCCGTGCGTCCAAGTAGGTTCGAATAACAAATTCGAAGTTCGGGACCATGAATACGAGATCCAATTTTTCGCTCGATATCGTTCATTTATTTTCTTAATTTTCTTTACCGGATAGCTTGCTTACCAGGCCAGCACTGACATGACACATGATTCTGAGCGTGATCCCAGTCCTGTCCTATCATGGCGTCTTCGGATCAGCGTAAAAACAACTCGACTATCCCGCCAATAGGATTAGCTAGTGTTCTTATTCTGTCTATGAGGTGTTTAACAATATAGCAATAATCGCCGGGCCATAGGCCCTTAACCAATGACATCGTATTTCTAGTTTGCCTGATATGGCTTCCTAGGATTCTTCGAGATAAGCTCGAAGAAGGGAGGCGGAAGTTATATCTCCTCGAAGTCCACCACGTTCGTAGTATATATCCTGTAGATCTTTATAATAGCGTGAGAGTAGTTTCAGGTCCTGAGAATATGGGAAAATAATGATCAGTCAAGTCTGCCCATCCAATTCTTCGATACTCATGGTCTCCTTGTCCACTAGGCAGCACGACCATAGCACCGATATACCATCGATGGTCCTCTGTATTTTTTGACTGTTTGTTATATGTGTATTTCTTCCACTGTATCCATTTGAGGCATGTCACCGTCACTTCCTGTGATTCAGCAGTAGGAGCGTCCGCAATCGTGTCGAAGAGGACAATCTCGCGGCTACCATCCATGTCGGGCGAGCGAATCGGCACCCTGACGTCGACAGATGCTGGCTCGTAGGTGCATCGGGATGGTGGCTGCGACCTGCCGATTTTTGGATACCTAGTCCTGCCTGATCTCTGAATTCGGAGGCTTCCTAACGTGCCCGTCAGGGTGAGGCTGTGTTGAAATTGGGGCCCGGTGGCATTGTCGATGCTGACTGTGACCGCGTTCTCACAAACTTGAGCATGTCTGCCCGGGCGGAAGCACAACATGACGTTGCAAGACGCCCATGACCATGAAGGCGCCCTACCTATCCGCTCCTCAGGCGGTTGGAGGCTAAAGTAGTCGGCAGCCCAGGCAAGCTGTGGCACCAGATCCGAGCGCCACACACCTGACAGTACTCTTGTCCAGGGTTAGCTGATGCAATTCGATTTGCTATGCCTTTGACAGCGGGCAACTTGTCAGTCTGCTGCGTCAAACGTTTGCTGGAGTACTCGGTCAATATATCTATCCATCCTTTTCTGTCGTATCTCCGCTGCCAACTTCCCTCCCCCATGTAGGAGATAACTTCACTAAGCAAAGGCAGGGGAGTTTCGATAAAAGTTGCGCATTCTGATTCGTACTCCGACGCATGAGTCTCCGGACATTCCCAGAACAAGGCATCTTGCGTCCAGAAGAGGACTCTGGAGGACAACATCCGTTCTTGAAGGACCCAACCACGCTTGCTCAACGGGGAATTCTCCACAGCTACATTCCAGAACGGCAATTTGGGCTCCAGCACAAAAGGCTCCCTCGATGAATGCGCGTGTGGATCCGGTCTCAAGGTGTAACTGGTCATAGGCCACCGAGCAGCTTCTCTTCTCATATATAGCCCGCCATTATTATGCTCTGCACCGCTGGCGGCAATCGTGCAAAACGAGTTGGTATAGATTTGGTCCATCAGAGGGATTTGCGTCTCCCAATCTCCAGAGTCTTTGCCTGTAGCCTGTATAATGCATAGAGCGTCAATCCACAAATAGCGGACAGACAGTTCCCTGGCCAAGACGATTGCATCTAGAAAGGTCCTCGGCAGCGACGCGGGTTCTATCTGCAGAAGTCTTTCGTCGTGGTTGGCCGATGTCGTGCGCTCGGGATGTTCCCCTGGACCCCAACAGCAATGGCACACCATCACGAGCGGAACGCAGGAGGTTCACCAGAGAGTATTAAAAACAAGCGCACGACAACCCCATCTTCACAGGCGGTAGAGAGAGCGCCAGATTTGAGTGGCCATCGGAAGCGAGGGAACAGGCACGAACCTCGACGAGCTTGTGGGGCTCATCCTGAACCGCAAGGGGACCAGACCATCACGCATCAGACCAGCCTCATCGAGAAGCAGAACAACACCATCGAGGTCATCCGAGCTGAGATGGCAGACGTTAAAGAAGAACAGCAAAACCTCATGAGACAAAATGCCGAATTGCAGGAGCAAGTCTTTTCCCTGCAGTCACAAGTCAGCGCCATCACAGCGTCTTTTCCTCCCACGCGATCATGGGCATCGGTCGCGGGATACCCAAGCAGAGGAGGGCCCGCGCCACTCACACAGAACGCGACGGCCTCCACCGATAACCACGACGCGAGACGGGTCCTCGGGCCTTTGGCCACCACGGATGTGCTGTACTGCGTGGTCGATACCTCGAGAGTCGCGGAAGAAGACACCGATAAACCTCACCAGGCGCGATTAGGGCAGCCGTGGAAAAAGAGATGCGAGCCACGCATGGACAAGACAATTGGCGCTGCCGGGCAGTAGCCAGAGATGCCAGAAACACGAGCCGAGTTAGAATCGCATGCAGGAATGAAAACGAACAACAGATGGTGACGCAAATAGCAGAGACGAAGATTGCCCTCGGCACCAGAGTCCTGAGAGACGAACTCTACCCGATCAAGGTGGAGAATGTCAACCGGCTGGCGGTCCTGGATGAACATGGAGAAATTCGGAGCGGAGCAGCAGAGTCCTTTGGCCGGGAGAACGAGACAACGGTGGCCAAGGTGGCATGGCTGAGTAAAAAAAACGTCGCCAAGGCTTTTGGCTCGATGGTGGTATACCTCACGAAAGGCAGCGACGCTAGTCGCCTTCTGCGGGAGGGTTTCTTCCATGTCGCGGCAGAGTCCGGCTATACGGGGGTGTTCGAACGACGGCCCCAGCTAGAGCAGTGTTTCAATTGCCAGGAGCTCGGTCACAAGGCATTCCGGTGCAAGAACGCCCAGAAATGCGCGAGGTGCGCCGGGGGAGGCCATCGCCACAGCGAATGCACCGAGCTCGTCGTGAGACGTGTCCCGTGTGGAGGTCCACACGAATCGTTCAGCCGAAGCTGCCGAAAACTCTACCCATCCCGACATGAGTAAAGCATTTCGTATGACCCAGCTTAATGTGAGAAAACAAAGCGAGGTACATGAACAAGGCGAGGTACATGACAGCCTGATGACTGACGAGGAGTTACGAAGTGCAGCGGTCCTAGCAATCCAGGAACCTCATGCAAGGAGAATCCAGGGCCGACTCTTAACCACACCTATGAGTCACCACAAGTGGACCAAGATGGTCCCCTCTGTATGGAGAGAAGGGAGACGGCCAATCCGGAGCATGTTAT